CTCACATCCAACCTAGACTTTCCCTCCTTCACCCATTACCCCTTGTCCTATCATTGCAGTTCCTAACACAGAGTCCCTCTCTGGCTCCTTGTAGGCCCTTCAGAGAGTGAAAAGTTGCTCTGAGGTCTCCACACAACCTTCTCTTCTCCAGGCTCAACAGCCCCAACTCCCTCAGCCTGTCCTCACAGGGAGATGCTCCAGTGCTCTTAGCAACTCTGTGGCCTCCTCTGGACTTGCTCCAACAGTTCCATGTTGAGGACACCAGAACTGTGTGCAGGATTCCAGGTGGGTCTCACCAGAGCAGAGGTGAAGAATCAACTCTTTCAGCCCACACTCCTTTGGATGCAGCCCAGGATTCCATTGCCTTTCTGGGCTGAGCTCACACTGCAGCTTCCCCCCCCAACCTGTAGCTGTGCCTGGGTTTGCCACAGCCCAGATGTAGGACACACTAGAAGCAAAGACAGAAATTTTCCCCAGCTATCCAAGCTTTTAATGGCAAACTATGCACTTTGCTCTCCAGGTACAGAGCAACCTCAGCTCTGACCCTGTGCACTGCTGGCTGAATACCATGAGCATTTTTCAGTACAACTGAGCAGGAGCCTGTGACCATTCAGACAGGAACCTCCTCACATATGCCATTTTGGGCTCCAAAAAAAAAGGAAGAGAAAACATTTCAGTATTACACCTATTCCTCATCTTCAGTTTCTGCACAATAAACTGAAATCAGAGGCACTTCAGAGCCTTTCAGGTATCCTACCACAACAGTAACAATTCTACATAAGTATTAGTAAAGCTTTCTTCCCCCTCTGTCCACAAGCTTCACAAAACCCTAACAAGAAATCCTGCTGGATGCCACACACTCTGTAATTATACATCTGTTCTGCAAATACAGGATGATAGAAACTGAAGGATTATCACCAAAATCAACAGTAACTCTAAATACAAACGTGATTTTCTAATAACTCCCCATACAAAATCAAATGACAACTTTCCATTTCTCATTTCAAAGAAAGTCTCCCTACCTCAAGCAGAAGATCCTTGTGATTGACACTGTCTGTCAGGCGCTTGATAACAAGTTCTTGGCTCTGCAGCTTCTGATTGCTTTCACTCAAAAGAGAATTGTAATGGTGTTCAACTGCTTTTTCTTTCTCAGTCATTTCACCATGTAATTTCTCCAGTTGATTTCTAAGGTCCTACAAAAAAAATGAAACTGAATATGTAGCAAATCAACTTTCAAAAAAAGTTGAAGACCAACAACCCACGTTATTAGTTTATCTTTCCATTGCTTTAAATTACTCATCTCACTGAACAGTCTGGAGAATGCACTGGAGCCACTTTCTTTCTCTTGGCATCAATGAACACAATTAAGGAGAGAAAACTTTTAGATGAGATGTCAGTTTTTTCTGCTAAAAATCGAGGTGGTTGTTGTTTAAATGCTTTTCATACAGAATGCCTGGACTCCAAGGCTGTTGGGAACATTATGCACATAGATGTTGTCGCTGTCAGAATGAACATTTCACTTCTGAGTCAATTTACTCCCTTGCTGGAAATAGGAGAAAATTGGTTACGGGTGATTCAGTTTGTCATTTGCTCTTTTTCTCATCACACCAGGAAAATTGTTGCACTAACACTGCATTATTGGTTACTTTTGCATCAAACAGAAAGTCAGAAACGTTAAAACTTTTTCTTTTGACAAGAGCACAAACTTCAAATGACCAATCAGGTCAGTCTTGTGATGAGAAGGAATGAACAGAACCTGATTCTGGCTCTGGTAATTACTTCCTGCAGCTCCAAGATGAGCTGTGTTATCTCCACATCTTAGTTCCCCAGCAGAGAAACATTTCTTCCTGACCCTTCTGCTTCTAAAGGATAGAAAACAATCTCCCCCAATGGTCTCTATGCAGCAGCAAGTCCCAAGGACTCTGAGGTCTGCTGGGAACAACAGCAACTATTGCAGTAATCCCTGCAGCAGGTTGCAGGTGATACCACAATTACAGCTCTCTCTCTACAGGTCCTGTCCCACTCCACCTGAAATCCAGTGCACCAAAACATACTAGCTGTGGGGTTTCAAAGTCTGACCACTGAGAAAGCCTTGGGTGCCAAGCAGCAACACCAAACTATTCCCATTCCTTCCGTTTTGCTAAGAACCACGACAACTGCTAAACTCACTGGAAATACATGAGAGTATTAGCATGGAATTAATAGTCAGTTCCCAGGTACAGAGTGAAAATGAGCACAGATCAGTAGGAAAATTCCTCACGTAGCTTCTCTGTCCTTCCACCTTCTCTCCCCCCACCACTGCGCGTGTCGCTTCCGAGATTTTGGCTGATTTGCTGGAAGTTTCCACACTGTGAGCTGGAAGAGGCAGAGCTTGCACAGACATGAGCCTCACTTTCACTTTTCCTCTGCATTTACTGCACAGATTGTGTGGAAAAAGAGAAATAGAAACCTGTAACAAAGGAACTGCTGCCTAAAATTAAACAATTAAAACTTAGAGAAGACTTTATACTCTTTCAACTTCTGTTCAGGCCCAAAGAACCAGGGTAACACAGCCTACATCTTAAAATAAATGTTTTCTATTTATTCCCAAAAGGGCCCATTTGTGAACTAGCACAAGCCCTTAAATAGTTTGCACATATGGTAGTCACCTATAAACTTCACATTTACCTCCACTGGGGTTTAAGATGTAATAGTTGTTTCTTATTCTAAGTTTAAAGAAACAGTACTAGTGACACTTTCATTGCAATCTCTTTACAAACAGTTTTATGTCCTTTCCTTGACTTAAATTACCTTGCTTCATGCAGGTTCACACCAAATCTGTTTTATGTCCTTTCCTTGACTTAATTAACTTGCTTCATGCAGGTTCACACCAAATCCTGAACATCACTTTATTACTTTGGTGTTTTACTTCTGTTTATTTTGTACATTAAATGCAAATTGTCATTTACAATGTCTTTTGGTTTATTTGCTTCATTGCAGCTTCAGCACAAGGATTCAGCTAAGAAACTCCTAACAGCTCCCCAAACCCCCTCAAGCGTTAGTCAAAGAAGGATTAAGCCTAGACCTTCAGTTCTGCAGGCTAATAAAGTTGATTTTTTTCAGGTCTGAAGAATTGCAGAATCAGGTCCAAGTTTCGTCTCTATACACAAACTCTCAGATTTGTTTCTATTTCTTCTTAAGTGCTACCTATAAATACAAACTGCAGGGGGAAGTGCTCTAAGGTCTGATAACTGCAAAGGCTTTTGGCTTCAACCTATGGAGCTCTTCACGTGGGTCACATTAAGCCTATCCATATAAAGCATGGGAATTGGGAGCAAAGGATCAACAGCAGTGTTAGCACATTCCCTGCACTGCAAAGTTCACTCTGTGGCTTTTTTGATGCTGTTTTTCTACTATTACATCACTGAAAGACTTTCAGTGACTAAATTACCTGTTAGGTAACTAAAGCTCAAAGGAACACTTCTTGTGATCTGTCCTGTAACTTCAAATGACCAACACTGAGTGTTCTTCTCTTTATGAAACCAAGAGTTTGAAGAAGATGAGACACACAGAGACAGAAGAGATGCTGCTGCAACAACACGAGTACAGCCCTGTCATCTACCTCAGTCCTCCCGGTGTACAGCACTTGTGAGGTTCAGAAACCAGGCTGCTGCCTTCAGTATGAGCAGGTTGATGGGAAGAGCTGGACTACGAGGGATGTAATTATGGAAATGTTAAAACGCCTGTGAGAGATTTGCAATTTGCAGGTAACTTTGCCTTGACTATTTCTGCTCCCCAGAGTTCCCTAACTCCATCCCAAAACAAGCTAGAGGTGAGACTGAAAATTATCTTCTTTCCATGAGGTGGAAGGCTGTAACACACCAAACTATCCATCACTATAGCAGATTGTTTGCACTCATTGACCACTCAGACTGGCTGGGAGAAAATCTCTTGGTTTCTATACACTGAGTTGCAAGGATAATATAGTACCTACAGCTCTCAGAGCACAGACTTCGCAATTCCCTCCGCCAACCTCTTTCCCAAGAGACTTTCCTATGATTAATGATAGTTGAACTAAGAAAAATGAATGTGAAGCACTATAATGTAGAAGACTGGAGCAGATGCCTCCCCCTCCTTGTCAGAGGGAAAATTGTTTGGTGCATAATTAAGTTGTGAAGCTCCAAACCTTCCCTCTCAGGCTCAACTATAGGTAGGAAGACTAAGTAATAAATTCTGCCTAATGAGTTATTCTGCATTTCCCCAACCAACTGATCAAATATGAATATCTAGTAAATACACTCTAATTGTCTACATTTAGGCCTGGAGAGAGAATGGATACGTGAAGTGTTTAATCATGTAAATTTGAACAAACTCCTCCACGAAGCAGCACTGAATCCCTGTTAGAGACACAGCAACATGGTAGACACAAGAAACATTAAGGGTGAGTTGGTGTTTATCCTTCACCAATAGTATATAACAATGTATGTCCAAAGTTTCCTGTTTCAAAGGGCTTAAAGTGATGCTTAACACTATCTTAAAGGTGATGCTTATAGAGATACTCAGCAGCAGCTTGTGGGAAGTACAGAACTGAAAGAGCTTTTAAAAGCTCTTTTAAAAGCTTTTAAAGGCTCTTTCAGAGACCTTTTAAATTTGCCCACCCTGAGGCAGGAGCATGGTGCAAGAACATCTAAGCCCATTACTTCAGAAAACTCCTAGTGATGCACAAAGTCTGTGATCTGGAGGATCAGCTCACATAGAATCACAGAATCAACCAGGCTGGAAGAGACCTCAGAGATCACCAATCCAACCCTACCGTGGTCACTAGCCCATGGCACTAAGTGCCACATCCAGTCTCAGCTTGAAAACCTCCAGGGATGGGGAATCCACCACCTCCCTGGGCAGCACATTCCAATGTCTGAGCACTGTCTCTGGAAAAAATCTCTTCCCAATATCCAACCTAAACCACCCGTGGCATTCATATCCAAACAAATTGGGGTTTATAACACGGCAGAAGGAATTTTTCTGTATCTCTAAGTTTCTTGGGTTTGTTTATTGTGGTGTGATTTTTTAAAAAATGGATATATGCAAAAATTTGCATTAGCCCAATTACAGTCTATAGAAAGTCATCGAAAATTGACCTGTGAGCAAAGAGCATGGGCAGCAATTCATTACAGAAGTTGAGAGCATTTTCTACAGACCACATTTCATTTTTGCTAGCTTTATTCTAACAAAATAGAACCCCTGATAAATAGGTATCTCAGAGCATAAATAGAACTGAATTTTTAAGGCTGTCTCATAAAAAGTTTGCACCAGATCACCAAAGCAGTTTCCTGTTTGTCAAAGAGCAAAACCATCACAGCATATTTTTTACCTCCCACATATCTGCTACTTAATGGGCAACACTTCACAGGCAATGTGGTTAGACCTGAACGTACTCACAGCTCTGAAATTGAAGCAGCTGTTCTGCAAAGAGCAGGAAATAGGTTAGGGATATAATTTTTATAAGACTGCTCATCTTTTGGCA